TAAAAAATTGAAATTAGAAATATCTTTTGAAAACAACTTTTAATATTTTTTTGAGAGGGGTGGTGGTTGGGGGTCTGGTTTGAGGGTAGGGACCAAATAAATTGATTTTTTCAACATTTTTTTTTAATTGGAAGTTGGAAGAGAGTTTTGGAAAATGTTTTCCTTAAGTTTTGAAGGGAAGTCATTTTCCTTAAATTTGAGGAAAATGAGTTGATTTGGAAAACATTTTCCAAAACATTTAACCCAACAAAACATGAGAAAATTGGAAAACATTTTCTGAAAAATGTTTTCCTTCATACCAAACACACCCTAAGTGGAGCTTAGTTTGGTCCTAGTACACCCATAAATGCATATCTCTATCTATTTTGGTCCCACCGATACATGAATAAAACGTGTTGGTTGTGTTTTATTTTAAAATAAAAATACAAAGTTTACTAGCTTGTATAATTATATTGGGTGGAATAAATTTATGAGTGAACGTTCAAATATGTTCACGAACTTTGAAAAAATTAATTTTATATATTTTATTAATATTTGGGCTCAATCATGCCATTGTCATTATAGAAAAAGTTCATTAATCATGCTATTGTTTTTTAACCAATAGACCTAATGGTTTTGCGAATTTTGTATCAATAGGGGCATATCTTACCCCAACTATTGAAAAATGGTACACTTGGACCACTTTCTAAAATTCAATAGCATTATTGTTCAGCAAGTGAAGTAGTAAATATATTTTTACTTTTAGCATTAATTACGTAAATATACTTAATTAGTATGATAACATAATCATTTTAAGTATTTTTTAATTAATATATCAAATTCAAATATAATAGGTAAAAATGAATAAAAAATTTACATAAGTTGGTGGTACATTAATTTAGTAGTTATTCATATAGGGACCATGTCAGTACACCCCTAAATGCATATCTCTATCTATTTTGGTCCCGGCAATTAATGAATAAAACGTGCTGGTTGTGTTTTATTTTAAAATAAAAATACAAAATTTACTAGCTCGAATAATTATAGTGTATAATAAATTTATGAGTGGACGTTCAAATATGCTAATGAACTTTGAAAAAAATAATGTATGTATTTTATTAATATTTGGGTTCAATCATATCATTGTTGTTATAGAAAATGTTTATTTATATCATTATTTTTTAATGAATAGACCTAATGGTTTTACAAAATCATTTTTTCCACGCAACTTCTTTATTAGAAGTTCATATTACCAAAATTAAACTAGTAAAAAAAAATCAAATATGACATCAAACTTTGAAAAAGATTTATCTATATCATATGTTAATCATTTGGCCGAGTCATGCCACATTTACTTTTGCTCAAAGTCGATAAATAGCTAAGCCTTTTCTCAAAGTTTGATAGCATATTTAAACTTTTTTTTACTAGTTTAATCTTGGTTACGTAAACCTCTAACAAGAGGCCACATGGGAAAAATGATTTTGCAAAACCATCAAACCGTTAAAAAATAATGGCACAAATGGACCTTTACATAACACAGTGACATGATTGAGCAAAATTATTAATAGATGATATAAATTAGCTTTTTCTCAAAATTTGATAACATATTTGAATCTACCTAAATTACTGCAATAACACAATTATCATTACTAGTCCGTGATTGTCATTGGCCATCACATCACTATCGATCACTAATGTTAATATTGATGCTAACTTCTAGAGTATGGTTCATCAGATAAATAATTTTTACAACGCATGCAAATTATTTTATGCTAATGATATTTAGTTTTTATATTTAGATATTGAGCGAGCAAAGAATTTTCTCATAATTATCAAGTGTATAGAGATAAAATTTCAATAATCAGATAACTATATTCAAATTCAAACATCATAATCATCAAAGATATGTATAGTAGTATTTTGCAAAATTATCAACAACAAAAAATAAAAAAAACTTGTGTGGTTGTGAGACATTTTGATTCTCAAAAATGACAAAAGTAGTCTCCTAATAAGGCCTATAAATACTATTGTTGGTGGAGGAATGAAAATCCATCCACATTATTTGTATTATTACCATGGCACAAAAACTTACTATCCTTTTCACCATTCTCCTTATGGTTATTGCTGGTAAGTCATTTCATATTACTCTTATGTCTTAGAAGGGAAAATGATCAAATTTGTTCATTTATTATGCAAAAAAAAAAAAAAAATTTTTTACAATGCAGCGATTTTTAATAATAATTAAAAAAACAAAATCGCTGCCACAGCAGCGATTTTTAATAAAATTCCGTTGTAGTCTAGTTGGTTAGGATACTCGGCTCTCACCCGAGAGACCCGGGTTCAAGTCCCGGCAACGGAAATTCCTTTTTTTTTTTTTTTTTAATGTTAGTCAAGTAGTACAAATATACATGTAAAATTCACAAATAGCTATTTTTAGACCTTGTAATTGAAAAATAGTTATTATATGAAGTTTCAAATTTCACAAGTGAAACTTTGTTGAATTTTGAAATTCTATAATAATAGCTATATTTTTCAAAAACAAGGCCAAAAGGGGCAAGTTATTAATATTTCTACTAAATAATATACCTTCTTCCGTTATAATTTCTATATGACATGTCACCTCACAACCCAACCCCAACCTATCCACCATTAACAACACTAATATCACTATTTCGATCTGATCTCCATTGGTATATGAAAAGCTTGGATCTCAAGAGCGAATTTGAAATATATAATAATAACAATAATATATTCAGTTAAAATCCTATAAAGTGAGGATTGAGGAGGGGAGAGTGTATACAAACCTTATCCATACTTTGTTGAAGTAAAAATGTTGTTTCTAACCCTCGGTTCAAGTGAAGCAAAGTAAAGAAGTAATAAAACAGAAAAACGACAGTAAAGAAAAACATAACAACTAAAAATCACAAAATTGAAAGTTTAATACATTAGTTTTACAAAATATAGTTTTGGATTTTGCAGCTCATGACAATTCATTCCACTCCACGAAAATTCATGTGATGGCCCAAGATGTGACGAAACTTTTTCAGGAAGATCCAATTTGTAACAAACCTTGTAAAACACACGATGATTGCTCTGGTGCTTTGTTCTGTGAAGCCTGTCGGAGGGCCGCGGGGACATGTGGTCCCTGGCGGCGCCAGGATTTTCAATAAGGAGGTTCAAAATCTATAGAAATAGGCACACGAAATAGCTGAAGGGAATTCGACATCTACTATATATACATAAAAAATTATTTTAACCTTGTATAAATAATATAATTTTCCGCCGAAAAGAGTTTGGATGAACCCTTGTACTGGCTTCGCCCCTAGGCCCATAGGCCTGTAATTTCAATATTGTTGTCTTTAAGTGTTGTTCTTCTTTTCGACTTTTAGTCCTAAGTGACCAAAGTGTAATTCGAAAAGAAGAAAAAAGTACTCCATATGTCTGTGATATATGCTTTAATTGTGGCTAATAAGAAATCGACTATGCTTGTTGATTTGATAAAAATATGTTATCAAGGTGTAATGTGTAATCATCAAATTAAATAAAAGATCATTGTATTATGTGTGTTATATATGTTTCTTTTCGTTTTATACAAGTGTGGTAAAAGTAACCCATAAAATATGATCCGTCGTAAGTTTGCATGAGTTACTATTACGCTCATTTATTAATATAATCTATTTTAATAAGCACATTTAAAAGATGAGTTGATTTGAGCTAAATATGTAGCTCAAATTAAGGCATGTAAAATATTCTTATCAATTGTATTAATCACGACTTTTAAGTAACTAACAGTTATTATGATAGAGTGGTGAGTACTCCTCATTCTTAAGAACATTCGGGTTAGAGTTCTTCTTGGTACAAAGATATTTTTGTTAGAAAGAACTTTAACTCATTGAGTGAAAGGATTTCTACTTGATATCAAGAGTTTAAAGTGTTTTAAGAGAGTTTGAAACCGAAAAAAAAAACACTATAAGAAAGATTAACATTATATTTTATTATCCTTTTGATCATAGTATATATGACCAACATACAATTAGAGACATTTATGTTTTGTTTTTTTCTTAGTCAACATTTTCCTTTGTAGTATAAATAGAATACGAAAAAAGATTATATGGGAGACAATATTTTTAGGTAAACACTTTTGATGTGTTTTGTGGGTTGTATCTGTTTGTCTCTATTTTGGATCTTTTTTTAATATTTTCTGATAAAATTATTTATGTATGAGTTCAATTCTCATCTCCCTTGAATTAAATCTTGTGGGTGTGTGTTCAAATTACAGAATTACAAATCTGTATTTGTTGGTTTCTAATTTAATTCAATTATGGGATTGTTTTTTCTTTCTTCTCTATCTCCTCTCAATTTCTGGATTATCTATTGAATTACAAAATCGAACCGAAAACCAAATCAAACCGCAAATCGAGTCAAATCGAGAAAAAAAATCCGACTAGTGATTGGTTTGACTTGGTTTGGTATTGAAAAAAAAAACCCGACTATATTTGGGTTGGTTTGGTTTTAACTAAAAAAAATCAACCCGACATTATATATATAATTTTAAAATTTTATTTATACATAAAAATATTTACTTTGATATAATTTTTAAATATTTCTTATACTTTTTCATAGTTTTTATCTTTTAATATATTATTTCAAGTTTGAAAATTAGAATTCTGAATGGTTCAATAAAGATTATAGTCCACAGATGTTGGTAATTATAATAAAGCTTAAATCAAAATCAAATTAATACTAATGCAAAAAGAAAATCAATTCAACACTAAGAATGACAATAATATTGAATATTTGTTCTTTGGTTTTATATTGGTTTAGACAATTCAAATACATAATCTAATTTTAATTTCCTTTAATATTTAGTCATGTAACTAATACTTATTAACTTAATTTTAGCATGATTTAGTACTTTTAAATTATGATCATTTTCATTATGACTTGTTAATTTGCAATATTTGTTTTACGCAATTTCATTATTATTATTATTATTTTGTTGGATATTTTAGTGTCATTACTCATATCATATTTTGTGTTATTTTCTTAAGAAACACCTTAGATAATTGTATTTTGGTAGGACTAAAGAAATATTTGAAGTACAAGTAAATTATATGTTTGTATGAATACTTTACCTGAAAAACCCGAAAAAACCCGAGGTTGAAAAACCCGAGTTTTATTGGTTTGGTTTGGTTTATACATTTAAAAATCCGACACAAATGGTTTGGCTTGATATTTGAAAAACCCGAACCAACCCGATCATGTACACTCCTAAATCTCTCTATCTTGTATTTCGTTTTATATTACTTTCCGATGCGAATCTAAATTTAGTCGAATCCCAATGCGGATATCGGACACTTAATAGAAATCTTAAATAAAAGAATTGTTAGGACTGAAATAATTAGGTGTCATGCGGAAGCTAAGAAAACAAATTTTGGAAGGCCATGAGTAAGAAGACAAATGAAAAATATACCATAAGATGCAAAGATTTAACGTGGTTTGGTCAATCGACCTACGATCACAAAGGTGATGAGCAATCCACTATATACACATGAGAGTACAAATATAGAGAGAAATAACTTCAACCAATTCACTCGAAATATAAGGAGGTTCGCACAAGTGATAACATATCACTTGTGTCCCACAAATTCTCCCCTTAACCAAAACTCTTAAAACCCCTAGGACTACATTGTGAATGTTGATTAAGTTTGAAGGAACGAGTCTTTATTTATAGAGTTCTAACTTTTTTTCTACAAGAAAAGGATTAGCCAAATATAGAGAGTTAAGGAAAACAAAAAACCTATTAATTATGGTAAAAAACTCAGGGCAAATAATATCACCAATAAGTAAACAAATGTCTCAACTAAGATACAACACAGCTTGTTGATCAGAAAATAAATTAAACTTCTACCCTAATTAATCTTTGCATGATAAATATAAGCTTTGAAGATGCTTTTACATTGCAGACACAAGCTATTTGCCTAGCCATACTATTTGAGTAGTTGTGCATATTTCAATTCCCTTAAGGGTGTGGTAGGTATGGAGGAAATTTCAGATTTTTTCATGTTTGATTTGTTAAAATATTTTTACAAATATTTGTAGGAAAATAAGTTCGTTAAAAATGAGAAAAATGACTTCTCTAATAGAAGTAGAAAAACAAGTTCTACAAATAATATTTTACATTGTCTGTATCCTTCCACACTCCAACCTCCTCCTCCCCCCTTCCAAAGCCCCTATCTCCATCACTCTATACCCCACCTCTCATTGTATTTGTCTCAATTATATACAAATATTTTTAGAATAATATTTTTTTACTTACGTGTCAAACACGAGAAAATAAGTAAGATATCCACTTATTTTTCTAGAAAATAAGTGGAGCAATGGTAAGATTACTTGATGTCATCATTGCTTGTTGGATCAATTGATTTTGAAAGAACCAAATATGACGATCAGAACGTGGTACAATAAAATCAATTTTGGCTAATAGTAGGTGATGGAGTAGTTGTGATTCCATCAAGATATCTCATGAGTTGATGTTCATTTAGTAGCCCATCACAAATAATTGTTAATCGATAACTAAGTAACAATTAGATTATACATAAACTACAATCCTAAAAGTGGTTACCTTGGTGACATTTCTACGTTTTTTTAGTCAGTAATGTACATTTTGCATTTTTGTGATCCAAATTGCAAATATATCTTCCAATCTTTTGGGCCCAAAACTATTTGACCTAACAAAAAACATATTGGCCTACATTGTCAGGCATACCATTCTACTCACGTTATTGCATTTAATGGGAGAAAATACATTTTGATCATAGTCTAAAACCAATCTATTGGGCCCAAAAAAACATCATCACATAATGCAAAGATCCATAAACCTACTTCATTCATTTCATAACCCTCTAGTTTTTAATGTGTACCTAAATTCTTGTTGTACATTTTGCCATCATTAGTTTCCATTTTTTCAATAAAACCAAAAAAAAAAACAAAAACGATGAAGTTGCTCGATCAGATGGTAATCATTCCTCACTTTCAACTCTAAGATTGTAAAGTACGTTAGGGAGGAGTTAAAAAAGAACTCTTCTACACTATCACATAAGCAAATACTTAATAAATAACCTACTATATTAGTTAAAATTTACATAAGTATGGTATGTACATACTCAATGAAAAAATAATATATTGGACTCTATCTAAATACGCATCTTCACATATCAAGAACTATGAGATCGCCATGCTTGACTCCTTTTCAGTTTAGATTCATAATGCTCAGGAGTGGAGCCAACTTGGGGTTAGAGGGTTTATTTAAACCTTATCCGACGAAAAATTACACTATTTATACATGATTAAAATTATTTTTCATGTATATATATAGTAAATGTTGAACCCCTTCGACCAATGTGTGTTTATTTTTCATTTTTTTAAACCTCTTAACAAAAATTCAGACTATCACTTCTATTGCATATTATTATATAAATTTCAAAAGCAGCCATTTTTTTTGTTTTGATTCCTGATATTTTGATCTAGAACTATACTTTCATTAAATATTAAAAATATATCTATCTCATTTTTTTTATGAATAGAGTGGGGAGTTTTATCATATTAAAGAATAAGTGAATCTTCGTTTACCTACGGATCTTGAGTCATGGATCTTTCTATAATTCTTTAACATATAAATTTAGTTTCATAAAGTTATTACCGAACTAAAGTACCATATTTCCCTCCAATAAAATTATACCGAGAAACATAGAGGTTGGAATCTATTAAAACTTAGCTCAAGATATATAATTTGTTAAAAGATATATAGTAATACGTAGTTATAATTGGCACTTTGCGAGCAATATTTTATAAGGCTACTTAACTAGCCATACATAATAGTAATTATGAATCAATCATCAACTAATAATTATATATATAAGTAAGTAATATTAATTAATACATATGACAATATTTTATGTACAAAATTTTCCTAACCCTAAAAGAAGGGCATCATTTCTTAATGATGTCTCCACTACTCTTATATAGTAATTTTTTTTCCTAATTAAAGGGTTCTTTTCTAATTTAAGTGCTACAAATATATTTATTTATTTTTCAAATACAAATATTTTCTTCTTTTTTTTCTACTACAAATATTTTCCAATAACTTCTTCATATAATATTTTCTATTAGTTGTGAATTGGAGGTTTTCTCTTCGCCGGAGAATAATCCATTCCGGCTAAGTCTAGCACGTCGGGGTGGTGATCGGAGGATGTTTTCCGGTGACCGGTTTCCGGTGATGAATTGATTGAGAAATTTTCACTACTTGATTGACCTTTCAATATTGTGGTGTCGTGAGCTTTATTTCCTTCATTCTTGATATTCTGTAAATATATGTAAAATAAACTATATAAGTAATTTGAAAAATAAAATATAATTTTTAAAACTTTTTTATTTTATTTTATTTTTCATGAAAATTAACCAACCTCTGTTGAAGTAGTTGTCGTAATTGGACTAGAAGTAGAGG